CCGAACCGCCTCAAATCGAAAGCTCAGTCGGTCGGATATGGGTCACATTTTTTCAAAGCCGGTTTACAACGGGTTGGACATTTTTCACCCGAACCCGACCAAACCCACCCGTTGCTCACCCCTAGCTCTATGTTCACTCAGATTTTTACCAATCAATCACGAGTTTGCTTTCGAGCTATTTATACTCATTCAGTCAAAATTTTATCGATCAATCACGTGTTTGCCCTCAAGTTATTTATACTTGCTTAGTCAGATTTTTACTCATAAATCAAGAGTTTGTCTTCGAATTCTTTATACTTGTCCAGTTGGATTTTTATCTATCAATCACGAGTTTGCCTTCTAGTTATTTATACTCACTTGGTAAGATTTTTACCGATCAACCATGAGTTTGTCTTTGAGTTACATTAAGTGGTGTAAACTTTTCATGCTAAGTCGTCGTCCAATTGTCTTTGAGTCGTCCTCCATAATTTGATTGCTTGAAATTTTCCTCTCTTCTTAGAATACAACGGTCTTTTCTTTTGGAAATCGTGGGCAGAGATGATTGTTCCCCTCTTTATTATTCACAACCAACTTTTGGTTCTCAATTGCTCTCTTACTAATCCGTCCTTCCTTCATCTTTATATAACTTAAAGCAAATGGTCTTACTTTAGCCATTTCCATTAATTCATCTTTTCTAAGGAAACATCAAAATCCCCTGATCTTAGGTCCTTCTAGAACATTATGATCCCCATCCTATCGTCCAAGGATGCTATCCTCAAAGAAACTTCATTGAATCTTTGAAGAAAATCTTTCAAAGATTCCCCTCATTGTTATTTTAAATTGGACAAAATTGTAATAATATGAGGCTTTCACCTATTTGTGGCGAATTAAGCCACAAACAAACGATTGAACATGTCAAATTTGGTAATGGATCAATTTGGTAGGCTAATAAATCAATTCAAAGCTACTTTCGTTAAGGTTCCCATGAATAGCTTGCATTGCATTCCCATGCTCCCTCCATAGATTAGCATTTGAGCTTGAAATTTCATCAAATGTTGATTGGGATCCTATGTTCCATCAAAGGAATCAACTTGGGGGTACTCTATGGTCTCGCGGAATGACTTCTGCCTTTTAAAAGGCCTAAAATCTCTTTATACTTCCACCATCGCATCTTCATCCACCAACCTGAGATTAGCTTCTATCGTCACCTACATCTCATTTACTCGTCGTTGTATCTCTTCGTTCTCCCTTCTAATAGCTTCCTCTCTCTCCTTTGCCTGAATGTTCTCTTCCTTCTAATAGCTTCATCTCATCCATTGTTGGATGTTGAGCTTCATGATTTGATGCCATCTCCCTCAAAACCTCATTACACCTTTCTTCACTATTCATCCTTAGGGCGTAATAGAAGTTTCACCGTAGTCTCATAGTGGGCGCCAAAATATTCCAATTTGGAGAACGTCTAGAGTTTTTGTATAGGCGCCAACCAAAGCTAGTGCATTCAAAAGTGTCATTTGTCCCTATTTACTTTAGGTTTACGATTTTTATACTTAACTACTATGCGTTTATGCATCCTAATAATTTTGGTATTTGATAGGATATTTACTTATCAGTATGTAATCTTGACTAATAAAGATAAGATTTTGTACCAGATACGGGTCTCAGGTCAAATTTTTGTTGACATTCCTTTGGGATTTGGGTTACTCAATCTATTAGGGGTATGATTGGAGGAGTATTCAGTGAAAACCTTTCGGCCAAACGCTCTTGGCTTGATCCTCTTAGTCAGAACCTTTTGACAAAAAGTCAAGGGGTACACTTGCCCATTAGCCTCGAGAGACGTAGAGACTAAGTTATGGCACTCAACCCGATCCTTTCAGCCAACCCTCTCGGCCAAACCCTCTCGACCTTATCCTCTCGATCATAACCTTTTAGCCAAAATCTCTCGAAAAAAAGTCAAGAGGGTACAAAAATATATAAAATAATTTTTATAAATAATTTGGATAGGTTTTGGACCACCTTAGCAATCGTAGACACCTCAACCTTAAGGAAAAGTATCAAGAAGGAAAAATCAAGATACATCCTATTATTATTTGATATGTCAAGAAGGTGTCATTGTCAATTCAAATGGTCTCGAGCATATCGAGACCCATTACCCTGTGACTAAAATAAGAGAAAATAAGGTCTAATTATATATTACATGGTAATTAAAAATTTTAAATGCTCTTTAATACTTTCACATGAATGGTAAAAAATCCTTTATTATCTATATTCCTGCATTTCACTCTCAAAATATATGATTAGTCAAACACTTGCAAAGAAGATATTTTTTTTAAGATACTATTATTTTGAAAAGTGACTATCGCTAAAAAATTTTCAAAAAAGATGAGTATTTATTTCTTATAAATACAATAAATAAGAGAGAGAGAGAAAATGAATAAAAGGAGTATATCTCTTCTTGAAATTTCCTCAAATGCAAGATTTTCAGTCATATATTTCGACATAATGCAGTATAATTTTTAAGATCATAAATCCGAATACTATAGAATTTAGTAAGTTACGTGTTTTTTTCCAGTTGGGAATGTGAAATAGTAGTCGTGTGTATTTGATGGTCATATCAGCATCGTCACATTCCTGTGTGTTCATCTCCTTTATTCTTTGTCGTGTCTTTGGTATTCATTCCATTCGGAACCAAACTTGGCAATGACACATATGGGGGAGCAAGTGGGGCTTAACTTGGTCTTCATACTAATGCAAAATTTAATATAAGTGAGTCTCGCACCCACGTGCACTTTCATCAATTGCCTCTTCATTTTGTTCCCTCTTCCTCTTAATCGTCACGTGCATGTTTTAAATGTCCCTCCATTTCTCTGACATTCCTCATGCACTACTAAATGAAGCTTCTCTGATGATTCAGACTGAATCAACTACTAGTATATATGTATCAATGTATGGTTCTCCTAAAAGGAATTCGCACCGCCAGTTACCCACTATTTCAACCTCCAATTCAGTTAGCCCATATTTCATCAGTAAGTTACATTTTAGTTTTTAAAATTCTGAAAAGCTGTTCTAATATTCTTTCAAGTTAAATAAATCTCAAAAATAAAATTATTGCTATCTTAATTTCTAATATATATAACTTACAGTTATTATACTAAAAATTTACAATTTATTATCATTACATAATAGAATTAACGGCAATTGTTAAGTAATATCTTATAATTGTCATTTTTTTGTTATGTTGTAAACTTTCTCTCACTTTGGTGAAACAGAGTATTCATTAACTAAAAGAAGTCTATGAGTAATTCCTTTAAATATTAGATCCATTTAATGGGCTGACATTTCTCCATAGATATTTTTGCATCACAATTTCTCCTATTTTACTAACACTACTCCACTCCTTTTGTTGTCATTGCAAATTACATTGTTTTTGCGTCATCTATCACTTCTATCTTTAAAAATAATTGTATACGAATGTGATAAAGGGATCTGTTTATTCTAGGTGTAAGTTTATTTAGACTTATTTCATTCAATAACTTATGTATTACATCAAATTTTAATGATTTAACTGATGAATATGAAATTCTTAATATATAAATCGAATGTATAAATTTTTTAAAAAAGTAAAAATTATTTAATACTTCACTTCATTAATTCAAATCAACATATAAAATGATTTTATGATTATTTATCAATTTGAATAAATAAAATAAAGTATCAAATAATTTTTAAATTTTTTAAAAAAGTAAAAATTATTTAATACTTCACTTCATTAATTCAAATCAACATATAAAATGATTTTATGATTATTTATCAATTTGAATAAATAAAATAAAGTATCAAATAATTTTTAAATTTTTTAAAAATTTACAGATTTAATATATACATGAAGAATTTTAAATTTAATTGTTAGATTGTTAAAAATTGATGTAGAATATGAGTTACTAAATGAAGTTTAAATAAACTTATTTCTGGAATAAA